TTTCTAATGCATCGAAATTTAGTGCAACTCACCCCTTTTATATGTTGTGCACATTTCTTAGGGACTTTTATACATTACTAGCATTATTCCTAAATTCCCGAGTCATTTATGAGGGGTCGTAGAGTTCTTTGCATCTCTCTTAAGTAAATGTTGGACTAACATACCTTTCCTATCGCTACCAGCTGTAAGGACGTGTCCAGGACAATCCTTAACTGTAGGATCGGGATATGTCTTTACAGGGAGATAGTATTTATTTCCTACTTAGTATCTGTCCAGTAATAGATATCCGCTCGCTCTTAATAGATTTTAATTCGTACCACCTACGATATTGTGCAACTTGTTCGATGCTAATGCTAATTCTAACTCCTTAGGAACCTTTATATATGATAAAAAATTGTCACAACCATTTAGCATTTGAATTTTGTCATGATTTTTTTTTTCAATTAACGAATATTCCAATATTGTTGGTGCATGATGACATTCAATCATCAAAAGTGGTTATCAAAATAAGACCTATAGTTGGCTTATCACAGTTGAAAGATGGGAAATTTTAAGACAAACAACTTTGCAGAAAAGTCAGAGCTATTAATTTAACCAAAATTTTCTGGAGAAAGGAAGTCATATTTTTGCATAGTTCATTTAATTTCTTAAACATTGTTTTACTAAAGAATTAAAAAATCTGAATATTTATTAATATGTTTTGGAAAAAATATAAAAGTCAATATTTAAAAAAATCTTTTCTACGAGTTGCTCTGATGTAAAGCTGCTCATAATAATCAATGTTTCGATCAAATTCGTTCATGATTCCAGATATTTACTAAAAATGTGTATGTCAAGTTAAAGAAAGAAACCAATCTAATCATGTATGCCATCAACTAGATTTGTACATATTTTTTTGTAATTAAAACTTATATGCGTAAGTAGATGATCTTATATCAATGATTTTGTGGCATTCTTGAAAATTATTTGATGCCAATCATAGTTTGTTGATATATCTTAGTTATCTTAGATAACTTTAAAACTTCTGTCTGCGTCTTAACTTTCCAATACCAATAATTTGTTTTGTTTTCAAATAATAAAAAAAAACTTTAGAGTTCTGAATAAATCAAATGGGTGGCGAACATAATAATTTTTTTGTATCAATAACAGATGACTCTTAAAAGAGTTTGACCTACATTCTTATATCATGAGTATCAAAAATCAGAATAACTCTTACAAACAGAGGTGTCGTTTAAATTTTCAACCAGCCCGTCAATTTCCGGCAAGCACTTCCAATAATTTGATATTACGTACACGCAAAATTCAGCATATTTGTAGTTATGTGTCAAAATTTCAGATCAATTGATCATAACAAAACATAGTTGCAACATACCAAAGTTGGCTAGTTTGTATGAAAATCGGCCTATTGTCCTTATTTAACAATAGCTGCAATTTCCAAACCTACGACTGGATGCCTTTCTTCAAATAACAATTGAAGCGCGGTAAAAATCGGTAGAACTGTTTCAAACACACCGTTGGTACTTGAGCGGTCGGCGTTCATCTCTTTTTGCCAGTGGTAGCGGGGGGGGGACACCCCTCACCATCCCTCTCCAAAGGGGGAGTTTGGTAGAGAGTGATGATCAAACCGATTTGTCCTAGCTCGCTATCTACTCTCTATATGAAATTTTCACACTGCCGTACTCTTAACGGAACAATCAATTATATTCTTTCATCTCCTCCTCATCTATCGTATAAAAATTACCACTTTAGTCTGTTATTTGAAATTAGCATCTTCAACTATGTAAATCTTTGACTTCATGCAGAAGCAATAAATAAACATATAGTCAAAGTATATCCTCTCACCAGGGCTATCATCAGATCAATCAATGCGCTGATTTTCAGAAATCCACAAAGTTAGAATCTAGCAAACGCATAGTTTTCTAGCCTTTCACCCTGCGTAAGTGTAAATCAGCGGAGAAGAGAAGAAAGACACACTCCCAAAAGTACCAACAACTCAATGTGTAGCCATCGCTCTGACGGCTCCGACACAATGAATGCCTCATAGTGAAGGGTTGTAAATATGAAACCCAGCAAAAAAAAATAACATTCTTCTATGTTGTGCACTTCTGCGTCTGCAGTGCAAGCTATCGTGGTAAGCAAAGACAGCAAAACATAAAAGAAGACGTTAGCTGCTTGTTGTATTCTATGCACTTCCAGTGTACCGCTCATTGTGTGGATCGCTTTTTCTATATTGGAAAAAAGTATGCGAAGCAAATGAGAGAACCACACACTCTTTGTCGACTGTTGTCCGATTCAAGTACAAAGTTGCTCTGCAAATGTTTTGAGGCACTTTCCAGCCCTGCTTCTAACCATATAGGGTTCTTGATCTAATTTCCGTCCTACTAAGCACAAGTCACGCATTACCATTCTCTCTTGAACGGGTTTTAACAATAAATGAACTGATTCTATCAAAGATGAGATGACGTCAAAATTTATTCCCCTTTCCATAAATACCGTTGAATTTGATAAAGAGCAACACATTGTTGAGATATTGTTAAAAATTTAACACCGTTTCTTGATTCCAAATTCGTCCTACGAATTTCAATTCCGTCCAAACGCATTGAAACGCCATTGGATTTTCTTCGTCCTACGGATGAAGGTATAAAGCGAGTTTGCTAGGAGCGCTTCTTTTGTTTTGAGAAGAATGAGTGTAAATATTCACACAATACGCTCTAATAGGCTTTGTCTTGCAGCTTGTGAACTAAATCATCAACACAAAAGTATTACTGATTTGTACACTGCGAATTCATTGATTATTCTGATGTTTTTTTGCTTGGTTGAACGAAAATGGACGATTACGACGAAGTAGCGCTCTACCCTACGCAAATATATTTGATAAATTTTCCAAAAACTAAATTAAGATAGAACCAATTAGGAAACTTCTTGTGCCAAAACAGGTTCGCTTACCCTACATCAAATAAATCATGTTTATTGAGTATGACATTGCAAATATATAAAGTTTTTAGAGGAAGTATGCAAAAAGTATGACTACACAGCTAAAAAAAAGTAGTGTAAATTTCTGTTACTATGATGCACATAAATGGAGCGTCATAAATCATACAAATTTACATTATAAATCGTGTAAATTTATGAGACATGTCATACAATATTCCATATATTGTATGCAACTTTCCACCTTTGTTTGCAACATTTTTTGCAAGCTGCTAGTTTAAGTGAAAAGGAAGTTTACATGCATGAATGTTTGCATGCATGGATGTTTACATCACCAGTAAAATTCAGATTTTTTTAGTGTGTATCTATTCTCCATAAAATCATGGATAACTAAATTACAATCAGGTTGAAGCAACCCTCACTTGCTATAAACCCAACTCACTTGCTATAAAAAAAAATTATTTTCTGAATTTTGAAACCATTCGATGTTACAATGATACTTTGTACTTGTTAGATACAAGAAGAGGATGAAAGGTAAGTGTTTGACTCATAAAACTTGTCAATTTCGCTACCAGAGTGTTACAATAAGCGATTTTATGATTCGTGAGCGTTCACTCAGAGTGAGCGCTCGCGAATCGTAAAATCGCTGATTGTGACTATCTTAGAGCGAATTTGACAGGTTTCATGTGTCAAACACTTGCCTTTCAACCTCTTCTTGTATCTTAGAAGTACAAAATATGATTATAACATCTAATGGTATCAAAATTCAGAAGACCATGTTTTTATAGCAAGTGAGTGGAAGCAAGCCTGATTACAATCAACAATAGGCGTAAACTTTGTTTTGAAAAGCTGTTTGATATAAAATTTCTCAGCATTTCACTGCTATAAACTTACAATAGGTCTTATTTTGATACTCACATCCACCGAAAAAAAAAAATGTGATTTCTGAAAATTGAGAAAAATTTCATAAAAAAGGAGTATCTAGCAGGCTGTGACAAAATTTGCTCATAGTCAGAGACGCCAAGGAATGCGTCAAAAATATAAAAGGGTTGGATTGCACTTAATTTCAATTCATTAGAAATATTTGGTGAGCTATGACTTTGAAAAATTGACTTTAAATCACGTTTTCCAGAGTACCCACCATACAAAAATTGTTTGTAACATACATGGCTATCATTTGAAGGGTAAGCTGCCAGATTTCCAGACAAAGTGTTATTTTGGGTCACAATAATTATGATTCATTCTAATGACAAAAACAAATGAGTTCCCCACCTGTTCCGCCATAGCATCTTAAAAATGACAGATTGCTGCTGCTGAGGCTTTTGATAGCCTAAAATATTTACAAGTACTAACTGTTGACTAATTATTCAATTCCAACCTGGATCGGGTATCAAGATTGAGTCTGCTTGTTTTCTGACAAACGTCAATTTGCTTATTTGTTTTTAAAACCTAGCTCAGGTTGAGGTTCACACTGACAAAAAGTTCGGTTTCGCACTGGGTTGGAACTGGTGTTAACCCCGATAATAAACGAATTCGCTATTATATGTCGATTGAATCTGTTACAATCGATGCACCCAGATGAAACTTTTTTTTTAATAGATGTTATCATTCAAGTACTTTACTGACGTTCATAGAATATATCTTACGCCTGTCACAAGTACTACATATATCAGTCACATCAATTCGCAGTACCTGTAATATGAGTCAACAAACAAAGCGGCCGAGTCATATCGCATCAGCTGCATACGTGCGTCTACGTCTTTAAAAAAAAACTCTTCGCATGCACATTCCTCTACATTGTAAGTAACTATTCGAATCGTTCTCATTATCAATCGCGACCGCAGAAGAGAGTCAGCCAGGTCTACACAAATTGGTGAGGTGTGCTGTCTGTTCCCTTCTAGTTGAACTAGTCGGTAGTGTGTTTATGCATAGGTTTTCATTTTCTTCCCTGTCGCTCCTTTATTCGCTTTCATTACTCTCTGTGTCTAAGCTTGTGCCTATTTGTAAAGAAGGTAGTCACCTTGGGAACAGAATCACTAATTGTCTATTTCTGCAACTCATCCCCACAGTGGACAAAAGTCTGGAGTCCAAGCCATCTCAGCTGCCCTCAACGCTCATGCCAATCTGAACGGTCGCTCCCAGTCGCCCTATGCCACCAACGTAAGTATCTCGATCTCGAACCCAGTCGCCAATTGATGCATATCAGCTTTAAGCGAGCTTTGTTTCTTTTGTTGTGTGAATGATTTTCTCTTAACATTACCGATTTGCCGTGTGTTGATCCTATTTTTAACCGAAAAGAAACGTACAACCGAGCACTTCAGTTGACATGATTTAGGTGTGAAAATACGCAAACCTATACTACAGTTGTGACAAGTCGCCAATTTGGCGATACCGTTCTTACTGAGCATTTTCCAAACGATCCACCCCACCCGCCGCATCTGTTTGTGTCGATTGCACAGAGACAACAGATAGGGTGGTGGACGTCACATGATAAGAAGGAAACGTCTCCCCGTGACGGCGGGTGTTTTTCCTCTGTCCGTTGCCTTGCGAAAAACGGGCAAACACTGCTTCGCTTTCTTGCTAAAATTAAGTCATTTCGGGTTGACGCAACTGATGCGTTCACTGTTGGTGGCCGTTAACGGTCAGGTTGAATAAATTGCAAATGTGCAATGTTAAAAATTGCGGTTTTTGCTCGAACATGAATTTCCCATCTCCGAAATAATGTTTCTTAGGATCAATGCCACATTTGAGAATTCAAAACGAACCATTTCTAATCGATTGATTTCCGATTTCAATTTACGTTTCATGTCCTTGCATGCCATAACAATCCATTTAACGTGTGTGTTGTGTGTGAATCTATCCGTGTGCGTGTGCCACTGCAACAATAACACCCATCGAAAGCAGCACCCACCGCCCCCACCAATACCGACAGCGACCACGACGATCACATTCAACAACGGCGGCAGTGGCAGCAGCAGCAGCGGTATCGGAAGTAGCAACACCAGTAGCACTCAGTCTCCGTCACACTCCCGATCGAGCAGTACGACATCGTCGAGCGGCTACTGCAACTCGAGTTCCCTCTCGCCGGTCCAATCGAACAAAGTGTCCCCGCTGCATTCACGCACCAGCAGTGAAAACGAACTGATCCTCGACCCTCCGACTAAACCGTACAGTGTGCAGTGTGATTTCAGTTATCTACCACCGCCGCCACCCTCACTATTGACAGGGCTATCGTTGTCCTCTCCAGCAGGCAGAATGGAGAATCCGGAAGTAGTAGAACAACCTCCAGTTGAGGCAGCCGCCGATCCGGCTTCGTTCGGTCCAAATGGGCTGGCCGTAGCCCAGGACAGCGCTGCCGATTCAACGGATGCTGTTACGCAAAACGAATATGGATTCATCTACAAAACCATGGGAGGTGCCGTCATACGTAGTGTGTTCCCACCTGGAAGTAGCGGCCATTATCAGGTAGGTCCCCTTTGCTTGCATGCGCGCTGAATGACGTACTAACCAATAACCTCCCTAAGCTCACTATCGGAAAGGACCTTCGGAAGCGAAGAGGAAACAACTCGATCTTCCGTGCTTTTACATAAGACCTGTCAAGATTTCGTCTTTCACGTTGGCACCTTGCCAGCGGAATTCTGGGTAGTCGTCCGCTACTCTACGTAGACATTGTTTTCGATCGGGAGTCATTGTCCACCGCCCATCAGTTTCTGTCAGGGCTGAATTCTACCATAAGCTGAGATTGAAAGGGCTTAGGAAGTGCGTACCTACCTACTCGGTACAGCACTTCGAATGGCGAGCATTGGTGACTGCCAGTCGAGCGACATGCTGACAGTTTGTCGGAATGGAACTAGGAAAGTGGGAAACCAAGTTATGTAGGCTACTGCTAGTGCTACTAGTGGTACAGAGCGCGGCAGTGGGTCAAACGAGTGGCCAAATAAAAATATAATTGGTTTTAATTTTGGCCGCAATCGGTAGTCGATCAGATGCCGAGTAAATCTCTAGAAGATTTGAATGGTTGGGATGACTGGGTGATGATATGATAGGTGACTGTGGTTTTGAAACAAAGCTTGTTATTTTCAGAATGGGGATTATTCACGTGGCACGTGAGCTATCGGGGTGGATCGAACTGGTCTTGACACGATCAGATGATTCAAAAGTGGGCAGGTGCTGGTGACTAATTGTTGTTTACAAGACTTTAGCTATTTTTTATATGATGAATGTGGCTTTAACTATTGATTTCTATGTGCAAATGTACATTTCAATACAAGTTGCCAAGTTGAATAATAATCATTTTTATGGAATTGGAATATCCTGGCTACCACCCCACATGTTGAGTACAGTTAAGAATATCAACATAGCTTTATGATGCAATATAATTGATCCCAAGCATCATTCTTCTTCTTCTTCTTTGCATTTCAAGCTTATTGCTTATCGCATATTAGTTTATTACGTGCTCTCAACTTAGTATTCTAGATGCACTTCCACAGTTATTAATTGAGAGCTTTCGATGCCTGTACTATTTTTTGCATTAGGTTTAAAATAATTGTGTGGCAAGTACAATAATGGCTCTCGGCCCAGGGAAGTCGAAACATTTCCCAACCCGAAAAATTCCTAGAACCGACCGGGAATCAAACCCAGCCACCTCCAGCATGGTCTTACTGTGTAGGGGCATTTGTTGGCTGCTTTAAAACCTCTTTGAAACCTTCAATGTTACTCGGCTATGGTCTTAAAATCGATATACAAACCTCTGCTAATCTGTGATACATCAGAAATATTTTCTTGGGATAAAATATGGGACATCGGTTCCTTTGACATGAGCAATTGAATTTTCTTTAGGCACGTCCGTCATTGATTTCCAAAATGTTCTTGAGTAATCTAGTGATATTTGTTTGATATTATTTGATAAGTGATGTTGCAATAAATTCAACGGCTTAGAGTAAGCCTCCTACCTCAGACTAAGGAAATTGTGATCAATGCTTTCTTCGTGGTTCATTCGTAACTGGGTTCTTTGTTTAGCAAAATTTCTACTTATTTCCCATCACACAATTTAGATAATAAAAAGCTGAAAGAGTCTGTTTAACCAATTTTGTTTTCTTGGATACATGCTTCGCATACACAGTTTTGGTCACGAACTGCTTATTTGCTTATAACTTTGCACACAGTTTACAAAACATAGTTCTGTTTGAACATTAGGTAGAATAAAATTTATGCTTGTAATAAGTACGTACGAAAGAGTAGATTTTAATTCTAGTAATAAACTGTATTTGTTTTTGCGTTGTAAAATTCAAGTGAGACATGATCGCTGCATATCTCGGACTTAAAGTGTAAAAATTCATTGGTGTTGATTCAAATGTTAAGATTAATCTACTCTTTGCATATCTGTATGATCATAATCTATCAATGCTTTAAAGAGAAACAAATTTCAGCCACTGAGTGAAAATGTATTAACAAATGAGCAGTTGGTGTGTACAACTGTGCATGCCAAGCATGCTTGGATACGCAGGTATTCAACTACGATTGTATTTCAAACATTCAAAATCAGCTTTGATTACAAATGAAACTGTCTAATCTGATTACTTAGATTATGATTTAATCGATTTTACCACTATTTTTTTTTTATCAAATTCGCTACTCGTTAAAATCTTCAACAAAGGCGTCAACTTAGGGAGAGTGAAATACTTTTGCCCCCTCCCAATAATTTTCAGATTCCAATGTTGGTGTCAAGTCAAGTTGGTGCTACTGATCTCTCCTAGTCTGGAGAATAGAGTTTCAATTCTATATTTTAACAATAATTTAAGAAGGTTGAAAGAGATACACAATTAATGTTAATGCCAGACTTAAGGTGAAATTTATGCTAGAGAAAGTTATGAAAGTACACAATTGATAGATCCGTTAGAATACGGATGTGTTAAAATCGTGTATAGAAGATGAAAACAAACAAAGAGCAAAAGAATGATGGTACAAATCGCACGAGCTTTTCCTGTGCCAAGCTACACGGTCGATCAGACCTGCTCAATTTAACATTCCGAACACGATGCCTCCGGTTAAATGTGTAACGGCAAATTGGCAATGTTTGAAAAATCCTCGTCCAGCAATTTATCTTCTCCTTCACTGTACCAAACCACCGTCCTCTGTTCGAATGAAACCTTAGACCATTCAAATCGAAACATCGAAATCGCCTTTTCGAATGATAGCTGCAACCGGATGAAGGTTGTTTTGAAATCAGATGATTTTCCTCTCGAATACAGGATGAACATTGTTATGAGAAGAGAATTGTTGGAATGCGTAATGCTTTCTGCAGAATGATAGTCATCTTAAATTGAAATGCATTTGGTATTGATTCAGCCCCTTAACGCAAATTATTCAAAACGATGATGTAAATAATTCTATTGAACGTCATTTGCTGCTTTCAGCAGACAAACGAGGTGGAAGCATAGCCATCGCATCGGTGCGGTGGTACGAACTACGAACATTGTTTTTTTTTTGTTTTCCGTCGATCTTGTTTTCCGTGTTCAGAGATGTTATTCCTCAGAACATCCCGGCGGCACCGACTGGGATTGAACCCAGGCCTGCTGGGGTGAGAGGTAATCACGCTTACCACTACACCACCAGCGCCGTTACGAACATTGTTAAAGCGTGGAAATCGTAGTTTATCTATTTCGTGGTGGAGGAAGTTTCCTCGACCAAAATATTATTTTTGCATCCATTATGAATGGCTGATGTTCATGGCTGTTCAATATGGAAATGTAAACAATCGAATTAATAATCTAATTTCCAAAGCATTTGTAATTGTTAATCATCTTATCCTTAAATGGTTGTCCTTTGAGCCCTGTATGTTTTACAGCCAATTTTCAAATATTTTTTTTTATTATTATTATAGTCGCTTTAACGCTCTTGGGTCATTCGTGACTTGTCCGGGGGTGAGATTTGAACTCGTGACTTTGGCGTGAGAGGTATGGATACTAACCACTACGTCGGGGTCGCCCCACTTTCAAATAAATATTATCCTTTATTTGGAGGACAGTCATAAGAATGCTCATCAGTTGATGACGAATTCAACCATAAGGAAATCTTCCGAAATTCGACAGCATATTGTTAAAGAGCTCGAGCAATACAATAATCAGTCGAAGTATTGCGGATGTTTTCGTTCAATGTTTTTCTTCTTCTTCTTCTTCTTCTTCTTCTTCTTCTTCTTCGCATTTCAAGCTTATTGCATATCGCATATTATCTTATTGCGTGCTCTCAACTTAGTGTTCTAGATGCACCCAGCCACCTCCAGAATGATCTTGCTTTGTAGCTGCGCCTTTACCGACTGAGCTAAGGGAGGCCCCATCAATGGGGCAGGGAGCAATTTATCAATGGATTTCAAATCTATTGACATTGCATGAATCTTCAAAGAATTCAGTTTCAAAATGCATCATTTTTTTTTCTTTATTTAGGAGACTTTAAGCCGTAAGCTAGTTCATCTCCGTGTCAAATGGCATCAATAGATTTGAAATTTGTCATTAAATGGATGAGCAATGATTTTTGAAACATTGCAAGTTTACCGTTACACATTTTACAGGAGGCATCGTGTTTGGAGTGTTGATCAACAATAGATTTACTCAAAAGTGAGATGAATTTTCCGGGAAAAAGCCATAGAAAAACAGGAAAAACTTCTAGAATATGAGGAAAATTCATCAAAACTTAAGCCCATCTTGGAGTACCCTATTACACTGAAAATAAAATTTCGTTTATACTACGAAACTGTTCGTTCGTTCCACGAATCTATTTTGTGTTTCTAACAGGAAATAGATTTGTACTTTATATAAAGCTAGGTTCATAAAATTGACACAATAGCTGCTGATTTTATTGTGTATTGGAAACGAAACATACTGCTGAAAATAGTACGAAAGATTCGTATTTACACAAAAAATCATTCACAGGTGGAAAAAAAACACTATAAACGAACATTTTTCCTTGATAATTAAAAGTCGCCGTTCTGGATGCGATTACGATTTGATTTTTATTGAATAACTAGGTACATCTATTACACAAGCGGTTCTCAAACTTTTTTCGATTGCGACCCACTTTGAAAAATATTATAAATTCGCGACCCTCCAATACTGAATACAGATGTTGTAAAGCCAAAATTACCTTCAAATATGCAAAATGGCTTTGTACATTCCAAAAAATAATACATTCAAACTGTACCACAATGGCCTGAACGCAACGAAAAACTCATCGAGCAGTACCAAACGATAAAGAAGTATTACAACGATACAGAATCAATGATAAGAAAGCTGACTCCGGGCCAACTTTTAACGCCAAAATGACATTGCAAATGTAAAACATTGCCTAATGGTGAAGACAACAAATCAAGAAGACTGGCAACTCTTCCATTTTCTCAAACAAACGCTATGAGACAGGTACAATCGCGTCATATGCCGCTCAAAGGTAAAAGCTTCGAACGAATTTTCTAG